CCTTGAAAAGCCTGTCACATGAAAATGTTTGACCCCATTTTCACTTCTTCATAGAAGGTGTCAAGTTTAAAAGGCTAGTAACCACTTCCTCGACCTTCTCTTTTGCTGACTAAAGTCTAAATGAAATACATAAAAACTTAATGTATGAATGGGAAGGACTTTCCCTTGTCTATATGTGTTATAACAGAACATATGTAACAGGCATGTTTTGTTCACCTTACCAGACTAAAGAAATCCCTCTTTAAGGATATATTATTTTCTTAAATCTAATTTCTAATGCTAAAACCAGCATTAAAAATAATAAACTCTTTTTCAATACTATCTCTGTGCTCCTAGAGTCTTGTGTGTAAAGATTCCAGGTCAGTCTAGAATGTGCTGTTGGGTCAGCAGGAGATGGAGTCTTTTTTTGATAGAGGTTATATCTTTTTATTAAACCAGTTGATGGCTATTTGAAAAACTTAGACGCATTTGCCTGTACAGCCCCATTTTAAGTTTTCAGTCCATTGATGTGTTTGTTGTCCTTGCCTTGACTGGAAAGTTTTGGAGGATCTTAAATAAATGCTGTAGCTCTTACAGGTGGCCTGTATGGGCTAAGGTCTTGCTAACTAGCTCTTGGGTAGCCTGGTTGTTGCATTAGCCCTTGGCATGTGCAGGGAAGCTGTATTCTGCTGTCTGTCCTGCTCTTCATTGCCTTTACCAGCATTCATATGTGTCCAAGAGAGTAGACCTTGTGTTCAAAATGTTCAAAACAACAACAGGAAAGAAGCATTTTGGTCAAGTACTGATGCTATTATGCTAAACCTCACTGATAAATTCCTCAGATTGATTGCACCTAAATAGATGTTTTCCAAGTCTTTACTTGCTTTCTTTAAGAGAATTTTATTGAAGAATTCTATAAGATTATGAGATCATTTCTTTATTTCTTTTATTGGATATAGTTAAGAATTATGATGTATTTAATCTTGGATTCTGTCCTGTGTTCAGTGAAAACTTTTGCTTAAAATGCATGGGAAAAGATGTTTCCTTTTATGAGTCAAGGCTATTGCTTAATAAATTGTCTTATTGTCTTAAGTGGTCATACTATTCTTAAAGAATATTTTGAAGATACTGGAAAAAATACAGAAATGAGATTATTATTCCACAGAAATTAAAGAATACACAAGCATTTGTCTGCTTAATCAGCCCTATCATTGAAACAGCATCCCTTTGTTCTTGCTTCTTGGCTACAGTGCTGAAGTAGAGCAGGACATGTAGGATTTTCTCAGCTGACCTATAAAGCTATTAGAGTCCCAGATTTTAAAACTGGGACATAGGCAGCCATACAAATATTTTAATAATCTGTGCACACAGGCATTTATATAGGTAGTCTGTTTACCAATCACAAGTGTCCATCCATAAAAGGCTGGGGTTTATTTCTTTTCATAAAATTATATAGTACTTGAGAAGTTTTGTCATAGTGGAAGGATATTTCAGTGGAGAACACGTTTGAATGGAACCTGAGGAAGTTGCATGGATAAGAGTCACTCCTACCCCTCTTTTCAGAGCCTGGGAGCAAAACTGGCTTGCACTGGGGTCCAGTGTAAACCTGGGGAAAGTGAGGACTCTGGAAGTCTCGGGGGTGGAGGAGAACATCAACAAAAACCTTTCACCATGGATCAGTCCTGAAGCCGAGTGACAGTAGAAAAGACTGTAGGGAACAGAACCATCTTTACAGGAATGTTTGTGTTACTCTGATAAACTTATTTGCATCCTGCCAAGACATCAAGATGGGAAAACATTTCCTCCGAAGATGGGGAAATATTAGTACCGAGTTCAAATCTGTAGGACCTTTGTTGTCCCAGTTTTCAGTGGGTCTGGGACATAAATGGATGCCTTCAGGAGTTTTAGCTTTGGCTCAGGAGCAATGAGGCCACTCACTGTCTTGATCATTAGTAGAGGGGAGAGGGGAGAATTAATTGCTGGATAATTTTTGCCACTCATTTTGGTGCTTGCTTTTAAAAAAAATTATTTTTAATGAAATTTTAAAATTGCATTATAAGAAGCTCCTTTAGCGAGGCAGATGATGTGCATTAGAATAATAATACACTGTACTTGAAAAATACTACTTGTGTGTTTTAAGGTTTGCTCTGTCAGTGCCCACTGCTGAGTAGTAGGTGTTTACTTGGAATATATTTGAAGTAGATATAATAATAATTATTTTTTAAGCTTCATAAATGGAAAACCTTAAATGGTACACTAGACAAGGACTTTTTCCCCATTGTTAGACCTAAAATTTGTATTTGGTTGACTACTGTGAACAGTGAGGAGATAAATACTATTAAGATTGCTTGTATCTATGAGGTGTTTAAACTTAGCAGAATTTAATGAAGCATTCCTGCTTGAAAAAGTGCCACATGTGGTATGTAATTATTGCAAATTATGAATGTTTTTAGAAGAAACAAACAAAAGAACTAACTAATCTTGGCAGAAAGTCATTAACTGTGAATGGTATCAATATATGCCAAGGATGTGTTCAAGATCAGGTTACATCAAATGTTCATGAAGAGAAGACCCTGACCTGTGTGAGCTGCATGGCTGCAAGGCCTTTTCTATATATTTAATCTTTTCTTACATAAATTAAAGCTTCAGGTTTTCTGTACCAAGTCTTTTGGATTACTTTATATTACTTCTTTGGAGATGAAGAATATCTGGCAAGAAACATAAAGGGTTGAGCACCAGCATGTGAACTCCTAGAAAATATAACAATTGATCAAAGTTAAAGCAGTCTTATGTTTGACTTGCCCAATAATGCCATCCCACCGAAAATTATAACACCATCTTGGAGGTTTCCAATGTTTATACAGATACAATATCCAGTTGGTACTATGTTTGTCTTTCTGCATTCTTAGAGGGTTTAAAATGCACTCTCTGTACACTGTATAGTGGCTTTTCTCTCACACAGTGCAGGTGGTGAAGGAAAAACTATTTTTGAAGTTCCATTTTGCTGTCAGGGAGAATACTGGATTACTAGATTTTACCTTTTTTTTTCATTAAAAGGATAAGGTCAGTCTGGATAGAACACTTATGAATGTAATAATGAATAGTGGCCTGGACTCTCCCTCACAATGTGATGGACAATGAACACTGTATAAAGCCATGAAAACTAAGAGAGCTGCATTTCTTTTGGCCTCTAGATAAGCCATCTCCAAAAGGATTCGTTATGATATGAAAATAAGTGAATAGATACTGTTAAATGAAGATTCCATTCTTCAATTAATAAATAGATTCCATTCTGGAGTAGATAATTTATGCCTGCTACCCAGGCAGCAGTTGTGATTAATATGCTGCATTAGTTGCTTGAGTAGATAAAATCTCAACAGCTAAAGATCTTGTTTTCATGCAGATAAGGCTAATAGGAAAATCAAAGGAAGATAAAACCTCGAGAATGTGATGCAACACACAGAGCAGGTTACACCCTGTCAAAACTGTAAAGTCTGAATTAAATGTTATCAGATTTTCCTGTAAGGGAGGTTGGAAGAAAGGATTATATATTGGGACACCTCAAGCTCCACACCTGTAACATGATGGAAATGGAGCTGGTAAATAGACTATGATGGTAAATAGAATGTGATGGCTCATTTCTTTATTTCCTACATAAGGAGAGCAGTACTTTTTCTTAAGGACACCCTGTGTCTCATAGGCAGCATGGCCCAAACACCACCATTGACAGCAAGTGAAGTTTGGAGTCTCAGGATAATTGCAACAACCAAGAGACTTTTCTTGGTGTTTCCTTTACTCCGAATACAATAAACTAAACTCTGGTTAAATAATTTTTTTTTATCTCTTAGACTCATACATGAAAGTTAATTTTTTTAAAATATATTTTCTAATTTATTAGATTAGAAAAAATAAAAAAGTTTTCCTAGGGTCATCCAATTTAACTTCAATTATTACACAAATCTCCACACTCTTGTATTCAGCAGACTGTGCTTATTATTAATCTGATCTCAACACCTTTTCCAAAGTTGTTTCTCCCAGTATCCCAGACACATATTTATCAGCATAGCAAATCCTTCAAAACTTTTTTGTTGTTTGGTTTTTTGGGGTTTTTTTTTGTTTGTTTGTTTGGTTGGTTGGTTTGGTTTGGTTTTTTTGAGCTGGTAACAAGCTTCTTCTCACTGACAAATTCACATTAAGATGCTTAATAAACCATTTGGGTCATACAGAACACTAAGATGGATGGTAATAACCTGTAACTAGAATGCATATGTGTAGTCTGAAAAGCTGTTCTCTTGTAAATTAATGTTTTGGTCCACAATAGATTTAATCTAAAAAAGCATATTAATGAGAATTTTATGAAATAGAAGGGTTTTTTTTCCTTTCAGTACATAGAATCATTAAGGTAGAAAAAATGTTTAAGATCATGAAGTCCAACTGTCAACTATCATGCTGTTGTTTTCTTTATGTACATGAGATGTAGATGACACAGTTAAAGTATTGTTGCTGTGGGAGTCCGTTGTCAAGTAGGATTTTAATTTTTTCAAAGTTTGGTACTCAATCTTCTTACACTTGATTAAAATTAGGATCCTTTTTTCATAATTTTAACTAATTTGCATTTGGTTAAACATATGAGCCATTAGTCTTCTCTTTAGTATTTATTTGGTTATCAATTATCTGTTTGGAATTGTTCTGAAATATGTGGTAGAAGTATTATTTCAGTATCTTTGTGAGGGATAATCTTTGGTCAACTGAATGCCCTTTAAGCTATGTTGTATGCAAATATTTTGTAGGTTTCTGACATAACTGTGAATATGTTAAGTGCTGGACTGCCACTGTACCAATTGGCTTTTGAGAGTTTAATTTTGTTTTATAGAAAGCATATCTCCAGATTTTACCCTTTTTAATATATTATGTTAATGCATTGTTTTTAAATGTGAAGCATTTAATCTTACTGTTGTTATACAGGTTGAGAAGTCATGCAGAAACAAAAACCAGAGCAAATTATCCCCCTTCTTTTGTAGATATTTGGGCAATTGGCTGCATATTTGCTGAGCTATTGACTTCAGAACCTATATTTCACTGTCGCCAGGAGGACATCAAAACAAGTAATCCTTTTCATCATGATCAGCTAGACCGCATTTTCAGTGTAATGGGATTCCCTGCAGGTAATTTATTTTCATTAAAGCAGCCAACATAACTCTAGTGATTTGTTTGTTGGCTTTTTCCTAAAGGAAATTACTAGGTATTTGTATAGGTATGAAGAAACTGGCAGTTTGATGGATTTGGAAATGCTGGCAATTAAAGAACAATAACACTAGCCAACAAACAGGAAGTCAAACAATTCCTGTAGTTATTTCTTTCTGAGTATTACTTACCCTACATGTCCAGAATTCTAACTGCCTTTTTTTTTTTCCACACTACCTAAGATAAAGACTGGGAAGACATAAGAAAGATGCCAGAATATCCAACTCTTCAGAAAGATTTTAGAAGAACAACGTAAGTAATGATAATGTAACAACAGTTCATTGAGCATGACAGAGGCAGAGTTCCTATCCTCTGGAACTGGGGAGAGGATTTTGAAGTATTTGGGTTCTAACACTGTGGCAGCTGTCATGTTTGAATTAGGTGGTTTACATGAATGGTGTTCTCTCCCTCAGCTGCTTGTTAAGAACATCAACTGAGTGGCCTCCTCATTTCTCTAGAAGGGGTTGTTATAATTTTAATTTAATCTATGGCAGACACAGACAAATGAGCTTCCTTAACCCATTTCTATTACATATCAATGATAATGTTTATTTTGTGTGAGAAAGAATAGGGAAGTGCTGGTATTTTTGACAAGTGGATATGTGGAGACAGCAATGTATTGGACAGAAATTTGTATTGAAGGTAACACCTTCAATAGGTTGTGATTCAAAGCCTGTCCGGGATCTGAGAATTTTCACTTTTGCTGTTTCCTGTAGTGATCTGTTATCACCACTTTTATGCTTCGGCTAAATTAGTCAAGCGGTGATAATAGATCAGAGCTGGTAAGGAGTCACATGGACTCCTTAAAGTAAGGTAGAGGATATGGATTTGGGAGTTTTGGATTCTGTTTCCAGCTCTGACATGGATTAATTCCATTGGCTTTACACAAAATATGAAGCTTCTGTCTTTTAAAAATGGCTATAGATAACCTATAAATTAAAGGCAAGGCACACGTCATAGATATTTAGGGCAATTTTGAACTTGGGAGCTGTAAGGACTCTATATGGTTTTCTGGAGGCTGGGAAGACAGAATGGTAAACTAACTACTCTGCCAAGTTCTAACCAGAAACAATAGTTTAAATGTTAAGCTGTGATGAACTGCTGACTGCTTTCTGTGGCAGAGTTGCTTTAGAAAAACAGAGTATAAACTTCAAGTTGTGTCTCTCTGTCATTGTCCTTATCAACAGCTTATCCATATACTATGAAAGTTGCATGTTTCATGGAGATAATCTTTACACAGTTGATAGCACTCCTATTTGGTGAAAAGCACAGTTTGTGTGCAACTGCTAGATAAATATCTGACATGTCTTCTGATAGCAGTTCTTTTTACAGTTTATTTCCTGAGGGTTGGGAGATGTTTCTGTGGTCTTGATAGAGTTCCATGTTTTTAATGCACTGTTATTTCAGACATGTCTTTCTTTAACTGTATTTTTCAGATATGCCAATAGTAGCCTCATAAAATACATGGAGAAACACAAAGTCAAGCCTGACAGCAAAGTTTTTCTTTTGGTAGGTGCAACTTGAAAATTGCTGTGATGACATGAATGAAATTGCATTTCTAAGGGTAATATCTGTGTCTGTTTTCCTATCTCATTATAAAGAACACCAATATTAAAGAAAGCTATTTATCACTAACCAGCCATTTTTGAAATGTGTTTTCTTCATACACAAATTGCTTAAACTGCTGGAATTGAAGATCTGAGAGTCTTCTCTAATTAAGATCTGCAAGACCCTTGTATACACAGCCTTACCTTTAGGTTTGCTGTGCAAATAAGAGAGTGAGTATAATTTGTGTCTTGATTCTGTGTGGCTTCAGAGACCTGAAGAGCCCCCAAAAGCTAAAGAGTTTTGTGAAGAAGGGGAAGAGGAAAGGAAAAATTTATTTCCTGTAGTAATTTGGTTTTTCTTTTTCTTCCTCTGACAGTAGTCAACCACTGCTCTGGGGATGATTCCAAACAAAATCCCTAAAGATATATTTGCTGGTTGCCTAGTTGAGTCATCCATTGTAGGCCAACACAGGGTTGCTGTGTCTAATACAGCATCATTTCTGGATGTCTCTGTGATGACTTAGTGCTGTCTAAATTTAGGAATGAAGTTCAAAGTGACTTTGCTAATGCTGTGTACAGGGAGCTCTGTAATGAGGCTCTTAGTGCAGCTTGACTTTCAGTGGTCTGTTTTCAGTTACAAATTCAGCATAGCAGTCATCTCTCTATGTCCTGGCAAAGATTTGCTCTTTGACTCATTAGTTGCTGCTGGATGATGACACAAATAGCTGTGGAAACAGAATAGGTTGGTTCCAAGTGGGTGGAAGGAAAGAATTTCCATAAGAGTGAGACTTGTAGAAAAATTAATTAAAATTTCAAACTCAGCTTACTGGGCATACATTGGAGTCACCTGGAGGGTAAGTCTAACTGAAAAGATGACAATTATAAGAGACATCATTATTTAGCACGTGAATTTCCGTATTTTCCTACCACAAGTGAAATCCACCAGAAAACCTGCTTGCTGTCTGCTTATATTACTAATTCCCTAAGGCTGAACACTGAGTTGAGACCCATCTTGGGTGGGTTGGCTGCTTTTCCCAGGGGAAATATTAACCAGATCTCTGAAGAACAACAAAAATAAGCATACTTTGCCCTTCTTTCTGAACGTTGTGACAAAGACTTAGTTCTCTAAATCAGGTGGTTTATTAGATTTTTCTTGCAGTTCAAGGAATGAATAAGGGTGGCTTAATGATCAGAGACAGAGGCTGATCTCAAGTAGGTCAGTCTCCCAAATCTCTGAATAAGAATGCCCAGGAGTATGGACTACCTTCCTGATATCTCATTGCTATACATTGGAGGTACATGTATTGTGAAGCAGACTCCCTATAACTCCTTGTTCATATCCAAAGTAGTTATTTTTATGAGATGACCTCCATCTTGCAGGTGACCTCTGAAGACATTTGCTTTGTAGCAGTCATTGATTGAGACTGTGCTAATGAGTACAGGAAGTGTGGTGCGTGGGGAACAGATGGCTTCAAGTAGATCAGTGCAGGATAGCAAATGACTCTCAACAAAGAGAATGATATTATGTCATTCTGTTGTTTGACATTGAATGATAATGTCTACATGAAGGGCAGAATGTTTTCCATTCAGGGAAAAGCATCTGTTCTTGCTGTCCTGGAAAAGGTACAAGCATAGTATTCATAGCTGTCATGTCAGGCCAGTGGAGCTTGAGAGCCTGAGAGCTTGAGACCTGCTGGAAAGTATGAGATTTTGATGAAATCTAGTCTCATTGGTTTCCTATGTTGTCTCAGCATCTGCTGCTCTAAAAACAAATTGTCTCCAGACTTTTTTTTTTAATTCATTTTCCCAGAAGCTACAGATAATCAGAATTTCTCAAAGAAGTTGGTTCACAGTAGCATCACCAATAGGCAGGTTATTTTGCTGGGAGTGATACTGTGGTTGGTACTACTTGGAATGGGCTTGCTGATTGTATCCTCAGGAGTGAAGCAGGAATGATAATGGAAGGAGTCCAGGGGGCAGAGGCTGAGGCCCTGTGCTTTTCTGTCAGTGATGACATCTGTTACCAAAGATCAGGAGTGGCCTTGTACAGAATATACATTTTTGTCCCTGCAAGTCTCTGTGGAGGAACTGGGAAATTTGCATAACCTGTAATAGTGGCAGCAGCTGCTGTAGCTGACAAAAAATTTTCATGTAGGGAAAGGTGATTTGAAGTAAAGATACTGAGTACCAAACTATTGTCTATATTGTATTGTGTGAGGTCACTATGTAGAGAGGCAACATATCATTAGAAGTTCAGTTTGTGAAGGTGCACAGAAAATGTAGGGTTAAGAGTTACTTCACCACACAAAAATACAGTAAGTACCCATTCAAAGCCTCCAGGTGTATACAGTGCAGGAATAGCTTGAGGTGTGTCTCTAGGCAAGCAGCAGAAGTCCATTGAGGAGCTAGTTGCAAATGAACTGATAGGTGGCGAGACAGTCCAAATGGCTGTTTTGCTGTGAGTCTTTTGAGGTCTGTGACCAATAAAGTATGTGAATAAAAAGAGCTGGGAAGGAAATGGCAAACATACAGAGAGTCTTGAGAGTTTATCTATCAAGCAGAATTAACTACAACTATTGAGAAATATGATTTCTTGCATTTCCTTTCTTGAGGAGGATGAGTGCTTTTATTGAGGCTGTTTGCTGTAGCATATATATAGACTATAGAATTGTATGTCAGGTTTTTATTTTATTAGAATAAAAAGCCCCAAATACCCATGCCAAGATCACATTATTTTGTTGAATATTCAGGCAGTTTTTGTTGGAGACCTGAAAGAGAGTTTGAGCTGAGATGCCCTTTACGGAAGGAAATTTATTTTCACTACTGGCTTGAATTAAAAGAGTTTTGTGTGAGAGCAGGATACTGTACAATGTGAGCACCCAAATTTCCTACTGTAAGTTTATCAGAATGTGATAAATAAGTAACTATTTTAAATGGTGTGATATGCCTATCATTCCTGTTTTATACTACTAATATATTGTAATCCTCTTTTATAGCCTACTGTAATCAAAAGCATTCTAGCTAATAAATTTGTGCTTGTTTTCTTCCTAGCAAGGAAGAAAGGTTACTAGAAAGGGTCTGTTCCTTCTCATTTTGATACCAATTAGAGTGGGTTTGGGAGCTGCATGAGTAGCAGAGTGCTCTGATTCTGGAATGTTGCCAGTGTAAGAAATGAAGATTTATTGTTTCCATCCCTAAAGCGATATGGAGACTCCTGGTTGTGTTCAGTCCATTCTGACACTTTTTTCCTTCTGTGTCAGCTATGTAGAACAGTATAAAAGCTATACATGTACCACAACAAAAACCTATTATTTAGAAATAATGTTTTATGAACTTGCAATAGCTGAATTTATCATTGCTTTAGTGCAGTGGTTCAGACTGAGCAATTAATACTGATGCACTTAACTTTATTACATGAGAAGTACTTCACAGCCACAGTATTTTGATGGATGTGCAGTGTAGTTCTTGGGAACTTCACTGAATGAGCAATGTTAACTTAGGCTTGTCTGGACAAGCCAGAAATAATTTGGCAATCCACAATCCAAGACATACAAGTCATAGTTTGAAAAATGATAGTTTGATAAGCTTTTTGCTATTTTTATTGTTATGCTTTGCAGCTTCAGAAGCTTCTTACTATGGACCCTACAAAGAGAATTACCTCAGAGCAGGCTTTGCAGGACCCCTATTTTCAAGAGGATCCTCTGCCTACGTCAGAGTATGTATTCCCTCTTCTGTGCACATCTGAGGCAACTTCTTTCTGCTACATGGTAGTCCCTGAAATTACATGGTACCTCCCTGTGTCCACAAGAAGTTGCAGCTTAGCCATGCTCGGTAGAAACTACAAGTGTAGTACAGAAGTGTCTGTATTTACTGGTGCCAGAGCTGAGTGGTCATGAAAAATAACCCAGTACTGCAGCAGTTTTGTAATTCTGAGCATACTACCAAAGCAAGAGTTACAACATTATTGCAGCATTTAGAGAATCAATCTCTGCCTCACACAGTCTCACAGAGCCCTGTTCTCCATTGCCTGGTTGACTGTGCCCCTCCCTAGGAGTGGGACAGTTCTCTGACCTACAGCCCATTCCCATGCCCTCTTTTCACAGGGTAGCAGTATGAGAAAAGAGAAGAGATAAATGGCTGCCTAAAATCCCACAAATCCCTTGTTCAGAAGGCTTGAGAGTACACAAATGGTACCTGTATATTTTGTTGTCATGAAAAGTTCAAATTACATATTTAATTCCAGGTGGCAGACTTTGTCCATTTCTCTTCCCAATTTTCCAGAAGCATGGTGGTGCATAGCATTATGATCTGTATGAACTTGATGCAGGTAGTCTTCTACCTTTGCTTTCACTGTTTCCTCAACTAGCAGGCAACACCAAAAGGAGGGAACAGTCACTGGAATGAAAAAGGAGTCTAGTTGAGACTAGTTGGGTTTTTTAAATTAATTTTTCTGTTTGAAAAAATTAAACACTACATAGCAGCAAGATTAAGAACTGTTCACACCCTTTTAAAAACCACGTCATGTTCATTGTATTCTGAATGTTGGCACAGAAATGTAAGAAATTTATACTGGTCAAGATCTACCAGTAATTTTCTGCTTAGTGTTTATCTGATGCTATCCTGTGGAGGACTGTAGCTTCCCATGGATTACAGGATAACATTATGATAAGGTCTCTGCCATAAACATTAAGGAATGTTCCAAATTCCATTGGTCAGATGAATTTGAAAGTGACTTTTTTTTTTCCTAAACAAGACCTGAGAAGCTTAGTGAAAGTAACTCTGCAATTGTGATTAGCAAATATATTAAAACCTGTTGTAAGCCAAGGCAGGCTCATAAGATACTAATACTGTTTGGATCAGTCCCCTTATTCAGTGAGCCATACATGTTCCAACTGGGTGTTGTGGAACCTCTGACACTGTGTTTGTTCATTTTACCATCTGGATCAACAAGTGGTCGTTCTGGCATTTGGGCATGTTCAACCATGCCGTGATTTCTAAATGACAGCCTTGTGCCAACAGCAAAGAGATCTGACATTACAATCAGCACCTATCTTGGGTGCTCACACTGCCACTCACTTGTGGAAACAGGATTTGTCGAATACAAGAAATGAAGTTGTGTTATACGCACTCATTTTTAACATAGCGTTAAGTAAATGTGTGCCATGTGTACATATTTGTGAAGTGTTTACTGTTTACTGTGTTTCAGTGTATTTGCTGGCTGTCAGATTCCATATCCAAAAAGAGAATTCCTCAATGAAGATGAACCTGAAGAGAAAGGGGATAAGGTATAGTAAACTCCTTGTTTGGTTGGGGCTTTTTTACTTTCAAGTGTGCAATAAGAAAGCATCATGGTTCCAAATGAAAACTAATGAAACATGAAGAGTTAACCAAAAATGTGTTTCCAAGGCAAAGCTCTCATAAAACTGCTTCTCAGACAGTTGAAAAGTATCAGATGCCTTGGGGTGTCTCAGGTGGTATCACCATCACGGTTTGCCCTGACCTGTGGGGAATGAACTGGATGGGCTGTTCTGTCAGCTGTAGCCTGCTGTCAGTTGCTGTCATTCCAAGAAGACCTTGCTACCTCCTCCAGCATTGCATGATCAAAATACATTGTGAGCACATTTAAAGAATGGCATTCTCATTGTATGACTGGCATCCATCCAGCCATTTGAATGTCGATGGCTGTCGGGACAAATAAATAGTGGCAGCCTGCTTCTGGCACTACATCAGAACATTTCATCCATCTGCATGCAGTTTCCTGATCATGTTGCAAGGGCCCTTAGACAAAGGAGTAATAAGGATTCTGAACTATTCTGGTAGCAACAATCTGCTCTGGATATTCTCTTTTCCATAGCCCCATAGACACGAGCAAGAACTTGGTTGTGTGCATAATAAATTTTGTTGTGTTTGCAACATAATCTGATCTGCTTGGTGCATGTAGCTCAGCTGTGCTGTGTGGCCATAGCAATTGTCCCATAGTGCTGGGAAGGCCAGACAATGTTGCTATAGTGTAGGAAGCAGTGTGTTATTTTCACAGAACAAGGTACAGTGAGGCACCAGCAGTGATGTATAGCTAAGAAAATGTGAAGAACAGTCTTGGACTGTCGTTATCTGAGGACTATGTGAGAAGGGCTGTTCTCCTTCAGAGAAACCATTTGACTACATGAATATTCTGTTTGCAATTTTCTGCACAGCAGGACAAACTAGCTGAGCTTAAACATATATTTTAGAGAGCAAATTTTGTTTTCAGAACTGATATTGCAAATTTTTGTTTACTGACAACAAGTGATAGTATCCATGATTTTTGTGTCCAGATAGTTTTTTCCAAAGGAGGAAACAGACCCCTGAGCAAAAATAAAATCAAATTCATTATACTAATTTGATTGTAATTTAGTTACTAGTTTTGCTTCAACTCCCACAGCCTCAAAAAACAAGATGAAACCTTATGAATTAAAATTACTCTGGCTTTTTTATATTTAAGTCAGTGTACTTGAAAGGAAATATCTGTCTTTTCCCAGATAGTGTTGCAGGAGTGATGACAATGGCATATTTATATTTAAAACGGCCAATATATAAATGGTCTTCAAGATTGTTGAGGACAGTCAGGTATTTATGCACACTCCAAATTAAACCTTTTCTTAGACCACTTAGGTAATACAAATCCTACATTACTCACTGAATATGTTCCTGCAGTGTAGAAAATGTGGAGATAAAGGCTATTCTGAAAGTTGAATCTGTTCCATGTTTTGTTGCTTTATGATGTTATTGTAAATGAAAAGTTTTTTGTTTTTTTTTTAGGCTACTTTGTTACTGTTTTGTTTTTAAAACCCTAAATATCTGTATAATCATTCATATAATCACAACCTGGGGAAGTTTTCTCTGTTTATTTGGAACTTGCATCTGAGTTAAATAACATTTAGCATAAGCATCTATTCTTCAAAATGGTTGTTAGTTAGCAAGACTAAAAATGAGGGTTTGTAAAACCAAGTGAAAATACATTTTTGTAATTTAAATTCTGTTAGGCAAGTTTCTTCTAGGTTTGTTTCCAGGTAGGACTGAAATTTCATTTTGGTAATTTGTGGCTGAGAGGTGACGTATGGCAATGGGTTGTTAAGTGTAGACCTTTCATGAGTTTAGTCATTTAGGAACTGCCATGAACCAGACTGACCTGAGGACAGGGTTTTTGCTGGTGAAAGCCATTTTTGTGCAGTTAGGTGGTGCAGCCAGGCCCCAGCTGGAGACTGACAGAGCAGGTCTCAGTCTCTAGCCAGGCAGTAGCAATAGTAGTTCCACACAAGAGCCAACTCTGGCTAGTCAACTAAATTTTATGCTAAAATCTGAAGTGCAAAACCTGGGACCTACAACAAGCTCTTGCCTTTAATTGTGAGAGTCCCTTTAATATTTGTCTACACAAAAAAAACCCTAAGTTTTTTCAGTTCACACAATAGTAATTACCTTACTTGCATCCAAACACTCCTATGAAAACACAAATCTCAGAATTCTAACACAAAATAGTACCTTAGTTATTGATGTTTTGTTTGTGTAAGCAAAGTTCAAACCATTATGAAAAATAAATTACTTCTTAATAGTTTTTTTGTTTACAAGCTAGTTTGATTAACTTTTTAGATTATTGAAGTCTAAATCTCCCAGGAAATAGAATCTGACCAAGATGAGATTTGAGGACTGCATGCAGGAGGATACATTATGGCTTTTGCTAAATGTGAAATGGAATTGCAGGCCATCTCTTAAGTCCTTGAAGGTGCAAGTCTTCTTTGCAGTCTTAAATTAATACATCACTGCAAATTTTGTTGGAATGTGTCTCGGGAGACTATTGTCATGAATGGCATAGATGCAGATCTTTAATGTCATTTATCTGGGGTAACTAAAAGCCTCAAGGTGAAGGGGGCATCAAGAATTTGCTAGTGGCAACTGGTTGTCATAATTTCTGAAAAACTAATAAAGTAAGGTTTTTAATTAAAAGGCTGTCATACTAAAGTTTTGGTCATTATATTAGCGGATATTCTAGCAAAAAAAAAAAAAAAAAAAAAAAAAAAAAAAAAAAGCCCTATCCTGGAATGTTCCCTACAGTATGCTGGGGAAGGATAGGAAGGCTTTTTAATTCAATCTGTGTCAGTTGAAGGTTTTTTTCATTATGAGCAAGTGACATCTTTCTCAGAACTGTAGCCACAGAGGACAGAGTTGCTCTCAGTTGGTTATTCTGACCTTCCCTCCACTTCCTCAAATATTCCTTTTAGTCTGTAGCCCTCTGAAGCCAGAAGAACTCTCGATGTCTTTTGTTCTTGTGTTCTTCTTCTTAACCTTTTTTTTTCCCCTCTGTGACACTTTTCTCTGTTTATTTTCCTGCTAGGAGCCAGTGTCATCTTAATTATCTGGCTTCTCTTCCTTTGCTAGTTTTCTCCTTCCCTTGCCAGATCCTTCTTTCAGTGTTTCCTCCTCTTTTGTCTTTAACACTTCTGGTTTATTTTCATTTTTCTGCTGTTTTCTGACCCTGTACATAGTGCACCATGCTGGGCCCTATTCCCAGTACAGCACTCTTTGCAAAGTGCTTAAAACCACAGGAAACCAAAATAGTAATAAAACCCATTTCCTCGCAACCAAGAAGACATGATAGAATTTCTTTGGTCTCAATGTGCTTACCTTTCTGGCAGTAATACTGTCAGCCTTATTCAGGTGAAAAGTGAAAGTTTGAAACATGGTTTTGATTCTGCATGAACAAGGCCATTGAAGCACTTAGAACAACTTACTGTGGGTTCCCCATGTCTGCCACTGAGCACTAGGGAAATTTTGGGTGCTTTGATTTGCTTTATTAGGTTATTACTGCTTTATAAAGGGTTCCTTTTATCCTTTCTGAGAGCCTGGTGTCTTGATTTGAATAAGACAGGTGTCCACTAAGGGATGCAGGAGTCTTCATTGAAATGGAAAATGTAAACCCCCTCCCTCCAAATTATTATAATTTTTGAAATTAGGAGGCTCTCAGGCAAAAATATGGGAATAGGAATAACAATTCTTTACTAGGAAAATTAAAAATACAAATGCAGTAGGACAAAAAAAAAAACAACAAAAAAAACCAAAACAAAACAAAAAAAACACCACCAAAAAAAAACACTGGCAGAGTTAGAATATGACCTGACACCCTGTGGGTCAGGGTGTTTGGTAGCAGTCTGATTAAACGGTGGCTGCAGTGCTTCTGGATTGACAGATGTGGTTCTGCTAAAACAGTGATCCTGTAGAAGGGTGTAGTTTTCCTCTGAACATTCAGTGGTGGTATAGGTGGGCCTGTCTTCCTCTGGGAATCCAGTGGAGAAGAAAGCTGCTTCTCTTGAAATCCAGTGGAAAAGGCTGCCTGTGGTGTTCCAAATCTCAGATTATATCCAGGTAGGAATGCTTGGCTCCTCCCCCTGGGCAGAGCATCTCACAATGGGATGATGTAATTTTACCAGTGAGACTCAAGGACCCATTAACAGAAGATATCTCCCCGAGGGAGGATTGGTTGTAGAAGAGATAAAGAAAAACTGTAAAATTAACAGAAGATAACTGCTCTTCCTCTAACAGATGATAACAGAATACACAACCCCACCCACATCTTGCAGCCAGGACACCTGGGTAGCTGCAGGAGGCACTCAACTGTCTTTCCAGTTTAAGTCCAGCTTATCTCATTGAAAAAGCAAAATGACCACAAGTGGGACACCCCACAGGTGTGCAGGTCTGTACTGGGGGTGAACTTCTCCCAGCATTCAGCCTTGGTGTGTTTTCCCATCACATGAGGGCCTGCCTCCCCATCAGTGACACCGGGTTGGCAGCTCCACGAAGCTGACAAACCTAGCTCAGAGCAAGTGACCCTGTTGTGTTGCTTCTTCCCTCAGAATCAGCAGCAGCAGAATCAGCATCAGCAGCAAACAGCACCTCAGCAGCAGGCGCAGGCAGCGCCGCAGCAGCCGCAGCCGCAGCAGCAGAACAGCAGCCAGACCAACGGGACGGCGGCGGGCGCCGGCGGGGCAGGCGGGGGCGCGGGCGCGGGGCTCCAGCACAGCCAGGACTCCAGCCTCAGCCAGGTGCCTCCGAACAAGAAACCACGCATAGGGCCTTCAGGCGCTAACTCAGGCGGGCCTGTCATGCCTTCGGATTATCAGGTACCTCTGCAAGTTTTGCTGCTTCTGACACTATAGGGCCAAGGGACAAAATGTCATTTTCCCCCCTTCCCAACTGCAAGAACAGACCATGTTTTAATGAATTTTTGATGTGACCTGAGGCATGCTGAGGTTTTGTTCTGTGATTAGTAATTTTCGATAGAACACAGTTTGAGTTGTATCTACTGCACCCTGTAAAGTGCTGAGGACTAGTCCACTCCAGGAAAAAACTTAAATATTTGCTTAGCTTTATATTTTAGAGTAATCTTGCTGAAGCCAGGGGATGTAAATGCTGCATTGCATCAAGTTTAGGATACTCGGGTCTTGGCAATATTAAATCCCATGTGAGGCGCAGATGTGAGACAATCCTGAGAAGGAGAAGCAAAGGTAGAACCAGGCTCTCCCATTTCATTCCTCCTATTGTCACATGTATGAAGTGGTTCTGTAGTTTATTCTGGTATCTTTCTAAGACTACTTCTAATGTTAAAGAAAAAAATGCATGTAAGGACAGGAATGACCATTTGGTTCATCTGTTTGATTCATGCCAGAGTAGGGCACAAATACATGCGTTGTTTCTAATGTGACCAAAGTAGAACAGATTTCATGTTTTCTGGTACAGTAGCATTCATAAGGAAAAGCACTATCACTGAATATTTTTTGAATTTGCGTATTTGTCTTTGCTTACCAGAATTTTATTTTCCACCAAAAAAGTGACTTTCATTAAATGTAGAAAGCATTGAACTTAGCAGGATGTTCAGTACTTTGAAGTTTATACTTGCTGGAGCAGTAATTAGTTGAAAGAAGAAAAAAAAGTTAGATATTAAGGGTAAATTTTAAATTATGCTAGGGATTCTGTCTGCTCCTAGCCTCCAAGGGTATCCCACCTTGGAGAATGGTCTTTTCAGGCTGTTTTAAAGTTAAAATAAGTAGGGTTTAAGTTACCAGCTCTACAGTTGTCTTAGCTGTCCAGACCTTCTCCACAGACAATTGATTACTCAATGCCAGACATATTTCTCCCATTTTTGTTTAACTCCTTTAGTTACAATTTTCATGAAAGCATCGAGGGCAATTTAAGGGGAAAGACAACTAGGTTTCTTTTTTGAAAAGTTCCAGCCAGGCTTGATGCCTGAACAGATCAGTACATCTGTCTGACTGCAGCAGTATTTATGGCCGGTCTGGTTTGGTCTATACTTTGAGGACTGGTGTGCTGCATTTGATGATATCCATTATAGAATTCTTATACAGTTCTCTGAATTGTTGGCAAACTTGCCCCTTACAAGTTGCTAGTAGTCTAAATATTCTTTTTTTCAGTTTTTTTTTGCCCTCTGTGATGCTTTCCTTCTAAACTTTAACAGCACAGGCATCAAAATCATGATCTGTATGTTTCTTTTACGTCATTCACTAAATTGTATGGTCTGATTATCCATTTTTACACTTGTTTGGCTATATGCCTTTTAACATCAAGCTATCTTCTGTTCCAGAAAGGAATGTCTGCAATTTGCCCAAGTCTGACTTTATTAAAAACAAATTCTCATATGTGAAAAAAAATAAGCATGGGCAAGTTAATGCATTCATTTAGTCTTAAAAAACTCCATTTTATCTTATTCGGAAGTAGACAGAAGATCTTCTTTGCTTTGATTTCATTTAACTTGTGATCTGAAGTCTCCGTTGAAGTTTTTGTTGTCATTCACCAGCCTCAATATATGTTGCTTCCACAAATGACAGTGCAAAACTCTTTGTTGAATTTTACTGAGCCTTCCTTATGTGACCTTGGTATTTTGCTTACTAGGTGAGCTGATGCTTTTCATCCAGAAAGAGCACCTATAAAGTCATAGAATTTATCAGAATTCTTTTTCTTTTCCATTAAAAGTTGAAAACTTCCCAGAATTTTGAGAAAAAAATTCTGGTTTCAGACACTGTGTTACACAACCAGCCTTATCCAGGATTGTGGTGGGGTTTACCTTGCTGGACAGTCTCCTGTCCATTGAGCAGTACTTCTCATGCCAAGTGATTTTTCAACTTGGATTATTGAGCAGCTCATGATTAATTCTGAATGGGAAATGGTTATGATAATGGAAGGGCAAATTCAGCACACCAGAGGTTGCAAGATCTGCAGATTTGTCTTGCTGAGGTTGGAGTCCACTGAGCTGACAGTCCCAAACTATGGAAGGGAAAAAAATACTCAGGAAAATTAATGTTAGGTTATGTACATACACATACCCATTTTTAAGCAGTTGTCCTTGTTTGCAGTAGTTAAGGGATCAAGTTAAAAGACTCACTTAATGTTATATTATTTAGTCTTAATGGACAATTTTTCGTTTAGATAAGTTGAGTAGTAGTCATGGTTGTCTTTTTCTCAGAAAAGAATAAAACATTTATAACGTTTAGTATTGTCTATCTTGAGAAGGGTGTTTGTAGTCTTAGTACTGATAGCATTTACAATAGCCATAGATGTAAGTGTAAGAAACAGACGAATTTTGAAAGGGAGTCTGCTCTCTTTGTCTCCTGTGTATTTTTTCTTCAGAAAATGTGTGTGTACATGCTGTACTTTTAGGTACAAAAGTACTTAACTCCAAGGGTTCTTGTGTATTTTGTGTGCTGTGTTAAAGCTGATTGCAGATCAGAATGATGACTTGTTTTATGGGACCCTAAATAGCAGCACTATTTAGTCAGCTTCCCCAACAATCATGTTTAATGAGCACCAGACAGGTTAAAACTTTCCTGAACTGCACGGTCCTGGCAGGCTGAACATGTTATGATTGTTCCATTGATCCCTCTCTTTTTTCCTGCAGCACTCCAGCTCACGCCTGAGTTACCAAAGCAACATTCAGGGATCTTCTCAGTCCCAGAGTACAATGGGCTATTCCACATCGTCTCAGCAGAGCTCTCAGTATCACCAATCTCATCAGTCTCACAGGTACTGAGGGGCCTGACAGGCTGCACTCAGAAAGAAATGGACTAGAAGCCAGAAGACTCCAGCAATATGAAGTTCATAACGATGAGAAGACCAAAAATACAAACTATGATGCAGAATTAAAATTCATGATGATAAAAGGAAAACTTCACTCACTGAAGACTTCCCCCATCCCTGCCCCATCCCCATCCCTTTATTGCCATAAAGGAGATTCTTGTGAAGTTTTCCTTCCTTCCTGCCCTTGCATGTGCTCCATTGTGGTTACTCTAATGAACCCTTCTGATCTGAACCCAGCACTTAACTTCTTTATCCTTTGGAATTTTGAAGGATTCCTGGTGCACCTTCCTTATGCTGTAGTGATTGCCATAAATCTGTCTTTTCAATCTCTTTGATGGGATTTTAAAGTTTTAAAATCTTGAACTCCCAGGCTTTCAAGCTTGTATATAGTTAGTTTTGTACTAGGCAAACCAGTTTAGCTATACAGGTATATTGCACCTTTTTAAAGCACTATGTTATTTTCACAGGATATTACTGTTTTGCTCATGGATGTCAAGAACAGCAAAATTTTACTGTTCCAGAGTATTTTACTATTCTGTTTTTATTAGTCTAGTTTTCAGGCAAAGTATTAAAAATAAAAAATTTTAAAAATTAATAAAATGAAAAAAAGAAAAATGAAAAAAGAAAAAACCCACCCAAGTCTCTGCAGCAACAGATATGCTTCATGCTACTGGACTGAATGCCAAACAGAAGATTGCTGATATTTCTTAACTCATTCACATTGAATTCTTGAAATCACAGTGATCGTGCTCTGACTAGTTTTAAATTAAGCATTACTTTAAATGAAACCAGGACAGTCACATAAAAAGGAGATGCTTTCAGGATCTGTTGGAACAGAAGAATGGAATGTCTTCCCAGGCTGGACACCAAAATAGTCAGGAAAATGTATTTACTGCCCTCAAGTCTCAGTAGGAATGTGGATGTCAGGCTTTTTCTGTATTTCTGAGAAGTAGCTTATTAATGTGTGTGAGAGTTCTATAAATTTAGCTTTCTTTCACATTCCAGAGTCAGTTCTCAAAACTTAAAGGTGACAGAAATACTAAGACTTGCAAAAACAAATGAATTTAATCATTTTATGTTAGAATTTATAATTAAGAGAAATTATTGTGCAGTTTGAAAAGCATGTTGAAAATTGTTCCTTTTTGTTGTTTATTATGCATATTCTGTGTCCCTCACATTGCTGTGATTAACCAGATTAGTTACACCAGATGCGCTTGATTGCACTGAAATGTTTCTTTTTCCCTAGAGCAAACATGTTTTGATTGTGCCTAAGGGACTGTAAGTGGATGGGTAGCTGGCAGAAAATCCCTAGTAATTAAGCAAGAGTTCAGAAGCATAATCAGAGGATTATTGTCCAACTTCTGGAACCACAGTTATTCAGAGAGACACAACATGTAATTTGGGACAGCTTCGTTTTTGCTTCAGCCTTCAGAAATAAGGCTGACTCCTGTGGCAGAAAACCTAGAGGAATGCATTTAGAAAGCTACTGGCAGTGTAACATCAGAGAGCTTCTACAGCTGGTGTCCAGAGAAGAGGTGACAGGAGTTCAGGTGTAAATGGTCAGTGGTAACAGATTTTTATACTGCAGAGTGTTATCTTCTGTCCCATGCCCACACACAAAAAAAAAATAAAAAAAAAATGGTGTACCCATGCACATTCACACTGAAGTTGTGATCAGATGTAGCAGATGAGTAGGTCTGTTTGCTCTGAGGAGAATGCTTTTCATCACATATATGGTTCTACTGGATTTGATCTCCCAGTCATCTTTAGTGCCCCCTTCCTCCTCAAACTCGTGCTGTTTTCCTGCTTTGTGTGAGCAGTTGGCTTGCTTTGGCCATACCTACCATCCTGTGATTTTGACAACACACAGCTGCTCCAGAAAAGCAGCTAAAACCTGCTTTTGTCATCAAATGGATAAGAAGGTGGTGAAAAACTAAATGAAGCAATTGAAGGGAAAAATTATTTCTGGGGAAAAATAATCTCCCAGAGGATACTTTCAATGTATAACCCTTGAAATGCTACATTTTATACATACTGTAGTACTCTGAAAGGACAGGTTTTAATTGTTCCTTTATTTAACTGACTGTGGGGTGACAATTCTTTCTGTCTCCTCCCTTACTGATGTTAGGATGAGGTACTTTTGATCAAATGGATATTTGGCCTATGCTATTAAGTAACACTTCTTTTATACTTCTGCGATTTGAATGTCACATTTCTGGAAATTAACTTATGGCAGAGTGATTTTTGTCCCCTTGTGTTCTTTTCATCCGTCTGTTCTCTCAGAATTATTTTGTCTTTTCTACTACAGTTATCTAACATTTATTTTCCCTGCTGTGACTTGCAGCTGATCATCAAAATTCATACAAGATCAGGAGGTAGCAGGGGACCACTGTTTAATTAAGGTGGGCTCTTGTGCCAATAAGGCAAAATCATGGTGTAGATTAATCTCTGTGTAGAGTGTGAAACTTCACAGCAATGTAAGGTGCTTTAATTGAGTGAACTTCCAGCTTCTAGCATGACTGCCACAACCTCTCTCAGCTGTACTTGGCTTTCTTGTCTTGGTTGGGTTGATAGATGACCACATGCCACTCCTCTCTCTAGCTTCTATGTGCACAGGTGAAGCTGAGCTGTCTTCTTCTGTTCCTCCAAATTCACAACTGGGAGGAGAGGGAATAAAAGCAGCAGCACTGGCTGCAAAATGTAGGCTCTGCACACTCTTGTAGATTCTTCCTGGGGGTGAAATAATTTGCCTTTTCTTGGGAGCTTGATGCATGCTGCCAGGGTTGGTGGCAGTCATAGTGGAAGAAGACTTGCTGCCTAGGGTTTTTTTTCCCATGAGGTAAAAAACTCTCTGCTTTCAGAAATGAATTGTGCAGTTTGATGTGGGAAACCAGGACTGTGTCATTTTTATGGGGTTTTTTTTTGCCTGTGCAGTTTCTTTATTACTCAGCTCTGTCTCTGCCCATAACCTACAGACTCTCAGCAAAGTGTTTCACACCTCTACTGAGAGGTGCAGAGCTGTCTTCTCCATCCTGGTGAGAGAACAGGCTGCTGAGCACAACTTTTCATGTCATGGCTCAGAGGAAACAAACACGTGGGGAATTAATGGGATGAGCAGCCTGGTTCGCGTTGGTGAAGTTTATGTAGCACAAACTGCACAATGAAGGAAAAATAATAGGGAAAGCTGCGACTCCTGCACTGTATCTGTGACACTGTATCTGGGGAGGGGGAGGGAAGTGCATTCGTAGTGGGAGGGGTGGCGGGAAGCTAGAAGTGTTCAAATATGTATGATATTTTATATAAACATAATAAGCTTAGTTCCCCTTCATAATCTTCAGGAATGGTACTTTAACACCATTAAGTAAAGAATTGTTTTAGGATTAAATAAATGTATTGTACATAAGGCCATACGTAATCTTCTAAAAATGTCGCCAGACAGGAGCGATGTGTATTACAATATGAAAAAAGTCCTTAATGCACTGTTATCTCCTAAATATTTAGTAGTAAATTAATGCTATTTAATTTTTTTAAAAATTTGTCTTGTGTAGACACTAAAAAGTATTACACAAAATCTGGACAGAATATGTCCTTTTTAACAGCAATTTAAAGAACTTTTTATATATGTAAGGTAGTAACTTTTCAAATTGTTCTAGTTGTATATTCCCATGTTTACTATTTGTGGAAGTGTGCCTGTCTCTACTCAGTTTTTTTTTTTCCTAATAATTTCATGCACGCATCTTTCATTTTCGCAGTTTCCATTAGAAATTACTGTGTATGCGCCTGGTGCTGCCACAAAACTTTCCTGCTCTAGATTTGTGGTGGCTGCATTCAGTAGTGCCCGTGCCAATGGGCTACCAAAACCACAAAGCAAAATACTTGTTTCTCATTCTAGAGTTGAGAGTTTACTGCTTTTAAGTTGTCCTGATGTCACTCTTGAAATGACTGTTAAAACTAAGCTATGAGTTCATTGCATTTATTTTATATTCTTGGTTGTAATGAAATGGAATTGACTTTGCTTCAGTGTGAATTTTTTTAATAAAATAATATACATTTGTAATAATAATAAAAAGTTCAAATCAAATAAGTGTGCAGAAAAGTTTTTGTAAACATCAACTCTGGGCTACCAGTAGGGAAAATACAGCCCACAAAATTGCAGTTGTAATTATATTCAGGATGTTTATGATATCTTACACCACAGAAAACAAAGCTTCCAAAGCCTCAGGGTTGAAATTACAGTTTTTAAAATGCCCACGAGAATATTCACAGCTATGTGTCTATCAAAATAGAATGAAGCTTTATGGAAAGCAGGATTGATGGAGTGTTCTCTTAGGTTTTGCTCTCCACTTGTAAGCGTATGGATCTGCCACACTGATGACACTTGCTGAGATTCATTATAACTTGCATGACAATCCTGTAGATGCATTTTCTGAAAAAGAAAGCTGTTTTAGTCTGTTCTGAAAATAAATGCTTTCCTGTTTTCTCCTCCTGCTGGGTATTGGAACAGCTCAAGTATTTCAGGTGGCAACATGGAAAGTATGAGCTAGAGCATTATTGGTGGGTTTTCACAATGGGATTTTCTGTGCTTTGCTAGTCTGTGTGTTTCTGTTCCATCTAACTTTGGATGGATGGATGGATGGATGGATGGATGGATGGATGGATGGATGGATGGATGGATGGATGACTTCTTCCAAAAATCCCACTTGTCTTTTCCATAACAGTTGCATGGGTAAGAACGGTTGGGATTTACTTGCACTGCCCATTGCCTTTAGAAAGAGGCTTTGTTTTTTGATGTGCCTGTTACACAAGGGTAGGAATAGGAGTGGCCTTTTGACAAAAAGCTTAGTCTCCATCTCTGACGCCTCAAGACAGAGCTGTTCTTCACCTCAATGCAACTGAATATTCCCAACTTTGTAACCCTCAGGGTTTCTGCTTCTGTTGTCCTTTTGTTGATACAATTGTGCTTAGTAAGCAGCTTTGGCTTGCATGTTTCTGAAACCTCCCGTGCCAGCTCTGTCTCAATCTCCATTCTTTTACAACAGTACATCTCTTTCTGTATTTCCTACCTGCTCGTTCAGTTTACAGTCTAATCCAGCCTGATCATACTGATCTAGATTAATGGTGTTCCTTTTTTGTCCTCGACAGCTAAACAACTTTGATTTCACAGCCACTGAGAAAGTTGCAGAGTAGGTTGTTTGCAGAGTAGGTTGTTTGTTAGTCTTTTGCTTTGACTTGTTGCTTCTTGCTCTGTGTTATTGCCCTGGCTCTGCCATCTCTGTTGCATTAGTTGTAAAGCTTCTCTCTTCACTTGCTCATGACTGCCAAAGCCTGCTGTTACGCTATCCCTCTTACTGAAATCAAGACGTTATGTAAGTTACCTCTTGGTCTCATTGTCCCACTAGGTCAGCCCTTGCACCCTTAATTTTTAGTCTTCTAAACAAGCATTTGTAGGCTCTGTTTCCAATTGCCCACTGTTTCTGAAGAGATGTTGCATATAATTCTGAAAAATTCCCTTCTTAGTGTCTTCTGCATCCCTCATTAAAACCCCTTGGCATTGATGTATACATAAGTTTAGTATTGTATGCTACTGGTGTGCAAGGAGTCATATCTGTGGTGTAAATGAAAACTGCTCCAGTGTTCATTTTGCCTTCCAGTCTGTCTGCATCCATCATATCCCTGCATGCTCCTTGCAAGCTCCCTGTGACAAGAACAGTCATTTTGTTCTGATACAGTAGTTTCATGACTGGGGATTGCAGCTCTCTGGAATATGAATAATAATCACTGCAATATCATGGTGTTTCACTGCTGGACAATACACAATACTAGTGTTGCCACTTCCCATGTGGCACTTTCAACACAAGAAGCATCATCTTCGTGCCATATACCAATTTAACCTGGCTAATCCCAGAAACTGAGCAAGCATTATTCCAATAGCTAGCAAAGGTTAATGATGGTGTTCTTGTAATGTTGTTTGAACAGGTAGGTTCTGCTTTTTTACTTTCCGGGGAGCTTCATATCCTTGTTTGCGATCACAGGAAAAAAAACCCCAGAAACTTTGGCTTATTTTTGTGGTTTTATAGTAATTTAGAAAATTATTACTGTATAATTACTACAATGATTTTTTTTTTCATTTTCAAGAAATATTTATTAGAACAGCACTTATTGAGGTAGATTAAAATCACCAACAAGGTTATGAAAGATATGTGTACAGTCATAGCTGAGCTGGTAAAACTGCTGGGGGAGTACCACAACTGTTATGTAACAGATTGCCAAGTTAATCCAGAGTAGGTGTTTAAAATATTATTATTGTTGTTGTTATTACTATCATTATTATTGCAAGTCTGCAAGTAATACCAACCTACCTAATATTTTTTATATAATGTACTTGCTTTGGAATAGGGTCCATTTTTCCAGCTTGGTGTATTGGCATACTGCTCTGTGTATTGTAGGGTCTGTAACAGGCCATTTCTATGATTATTTTGTGTGTTCTTTGAATTGTTATAAAGAGGACAGACAGCCTGAGAGTATTTAACTCCTACATGTGCATTGCATGCACAGAACTTGTGGCTGAATGAAGTATTTAGCAATACATTAACTTAGCTAAAATGTCTTATGATGCTGTTCAGTAAAAAGTTGTTTGAATAAAGCTGGTATATTAAATTATTACAGAAATAATTTTGATTCTGAAATAATTTTAAATCATTTTGCTTTGCTTGCACTGTCAGTAAATGTGGTAAATAAATTAGTAAAGGAAAATCTGAATTATTTTTTAAATATTACTTTAAAAAATAGTTGTTTGCTATTGAATCTTGGATGTAATGAGATAGCCAACAATAATACATTTTATTCCATCTTCATCCCACAAGAAGACATCATGTCTCAAGTACCAAAAAATCTAATACATAATGCACTGAAGAAAGGAATTCTTCATACCTATCAGAAGCAGACAAAGTTTTAATTATGAACCAAATATGCCAAGTGGTGTATGGTTCAGACATCCTTTCTATGGGCTGCATGTAAGCCTACACTGGTAAGATTCTTCCCTGTATTCACAAATAGGAATTCCCTGGGTGGTTGTGGAGGGAGAAGGGAGTGGAAGCATGCAGCCTTCTGATTTTGTAAAGAAGTTTTAATGCTATCAAATGTAGGTATCTGCAGTTCTCCAGCTCATAATGAAATTCTAAATATTTTATGTATTTTTAACATTTGTTAAAAATGTTTTTTACCCTTGTCTGGGCAATGTGGTATAGCCCTGCTCTGAAAAAATAACCTCAACTCTGCTTGCATGACCTGGTCAGGGGCATGGTTGTCAATTCAGTCTTGCAGACAATTTATACAAGTGGACACTGAACTTTAACCTGTAAACTCAGGTCACACAGATCTGTGGAAAGCAATCAGCTTTTACAGAAAACACATTTTTTTTGGCTGGAAAGTGAACCAGAGAACTGCAAAATTAAAGACTTGAAGTCTTATGCAAAAGGCTCCTGTGGCCCCCCAGTTTGACAGACAGTGTTATGAGATGATTGTAAATTATCAGATCATATAATTGCTGCTAGGCTGTGCAGTTCTAAAACATCTATTGTTCTAAAACATCTTGCCATTATCTAGTATGATGTAGAATAAGTAATTTGTGGAAGCGTAATTACAGTTTTCAGTTTTCAACCTTTTGTAATTGTAAGACTTGTTTTTGCAGTGGTACAGAAGAAAGAAGGACAGTTTCCAGTAGTTTGGTTTTGGCAGTAAAACTCAGAACATTAATTTGCTAAGGAAGAAGAACCAAAGGAGATCAGGCTTCTCCCTTGCTGGTGTCAATCCTTCCGGTGCAGCAGAGGAGATTCAAGGAGGCAGATCATACCATGACATAGTAACTGCAACACTTGCTTTTGAAAAAGAAATATTTTTAAGTGCAGCATTAGAACCATAGAAAGTATACCCAGAAAAGTTGATGTGAGTTAGTCACCTTTATGAAATTCCTTTCACATGGAAAGCAGTCTGATTTGGTCATGTCGAGAAGTTTATTGACTTTGGTCTTGCCTACCCATAAATGCATGAAAATCTGCAAAGTTTTTGGTTTCAGAGTACTTCCCCTTGTAATAATGGAGCTTTTCTTTAAACATATGAAAGTTTTCTTGTAGCTTGCAGTATCCCACAAGCATAGAAATAAATCCCTACTCATTTAAGAAACAATGGGGACATCTACTAACACACCCTGGTGGTATGTCCCAATTGGGATTATAAAGAGCTGCTTCTACATCATGCTGCTGCTAGATGAAAGCTGTAAGTCCCCTGTGACTTTGAAACAGTTGGCTCTGGAAAGTAGGAAGGAAGCAGCTTCTTTTAGCATCTGGAGCGATATTAGAGGTATTTGAAGTGCATTTGGGTCATCTGAGATTGTGACATGTATCATATTTGAACAGTGGCTGCACACTTCCAACTCCAAGAACTCAATCTCGCACAATAACATTTACATATATTGTCTGTGGAGACATGCTCAACTGTGACTTGCTAACTTAAATCTTACGAAATATTTGTCAGTGGATTGCTTGTGCTGGAGGATGTAAGGAACAACCTGCCAGCTCTATCAGAACCAGGCATATTCTCTTCCCACCTAACGTGCCAAGCTCATAAATCAGTCGCAGTGCGTCATGCTTTTATTAATACACAGAGGTTGTACTATTCCAAGACTGCATTATCGCTGCTGCTTCTCATGCATCAGAGATGTGGTAATCCATCTGTATTCTGCCTAGCTCCTTTAGGATGTTTCATGTGTGGCTCTGGGGAGACCAGCAATGCACTGGCCCTGACTCTGGATAGCCTATACATCATCTTGAAAATTAACTCAGAAGAGCACCACAGTGGAATTCAGTCTTGTCCTTTTGTGGGCTGAAATTCAGTACATGCGACATGGCACTCTTACAGAGGGGACACAGGAAGAGAGTGGGAGCTACTCCTGCTTCTGTGAGATTAGGGATGGTTTCTGGATATGCTATGTATGAATATGAAAACCACACTTTTGCTTCGGTATTTCAGGATCCTACCCTACAGGTGAATTACAAGAGTATGCAGGTTTAAATTATTGGGATATGTCCTAAGTTTGTTTAGACCAGCATGATTAATGAAACTGTGTTGACATTGATAGTTGCTATCACTTCTTAAACAAAAAAAACTTAAGGAAGTTTCCTATGTCTTGCTTCTCTCATGCACATATCCAAATGTGGAGCTAAGGAATAACTGGTTTCCCAAAAATGCCCTGAGAAAAGAGGATACCCTGTGTAGCCAGCATAGCTATGCATCCTAAATATAACAGTGCTGAGCATTTGCAGAGCAGGGTTCAGGTTTTCACCACGTATGGCAGCCTGGGATGTTCAGGGCCAGACATCCCCACTGTGTAACGTGATCGCTTCCTTGGGTGCCAGACCAGCTCCCAGCCTGGCAGCTGCTGGCTGGGGATGGAGTTTCCTGACCCAGACCCACCTCCTCCCATCTAGA